GCTGCGGGACCGCGGCTCCTGGAGACCCCCGGGTTGCACGGGCCCGGTCTTCGGGCGCCAGCACGGCCGTGTCGTGAGGACTCAGCCTGCCTCGCCTACCGCGCGGCCGCGCCGAAGCGTCCCCAGCCGGTCCCGCCGAGGCGTAACCCCGGCACAAACTTTTGCCGACTCCCGCGGCCTTGGCGGTCCAGAGCCCCGCTCCGGCCGCGGTGCTCATTTAAGGTGGAGCCGGCACTTAGCCGGGCAGACCGGGCTCCCGGCCGCGCTTTTGTCCTTGTGGTCCCGCCGGAGCGAGGGCCTCCTTAAGAAAAAGCACGTGGGCACGGCCCGCAGCCCCCTTGAGACGCCCGGGGCGTCTGCGGACTCGAGCCGCTGGGAGCTGGGGAGAGAGAATGTGGACACTTCCGTGCCAGCCTCCAGGCCAGAACAGCCCCCCTCTGCCTTCAGCCTCCAATCCCGCCCGCACACCTTGGTTCCCCCTTACACTCCCCTGTACCCCCAAGGACTTTTCCAGTTTCAGGCTTCCCGAGTCGCAGGTCCCCCTTAAGAAGCGTTGACTGTACGGCGGCGCCAGAGGGCCAAACTAAATTCTGTCTGGGGAAACGCGCTCGGGGGCAATTGTAGAAATGCAGGGTTCAAACAGCGACGGCCGAAAGCTGCGTCCGGGAATAGTGCGGGAGACCAGGCCGCCGTCCTTGCGTGCAACTCCAAACCCACCCCTCCCCAACCGAAGGGTACCGGGCTCACGGCCTGCGGTGCTCTGCAGAGTCTCTGCAAGAAAAGGGGCCCCAGAAAGGAGAGACCTGTCCGTGGACTGGGTCTCCAAGCCCAGAGACGTGAATCCCGCACCCCAGAGCCGCCCCGCCAAGTTCCAAAGAAGCTGGAGGTGAGCGGGGAGGCGATCGGCGCCCCACCGAGAAAAGCCAGCGGGATAGTAAACCTCCTGGGATCCACCCCAGGAGTTTTAAGCCACGTTTTTCTTTTCCTTGTTTTTCTTCCTCAAATTCCATCCTCCCCACCCCCATCCTCAGCCAAAGAGGTTAGAGCAAATTCGAGGTCCGTCAGTGCAAAACGAAGTGGTTTTAGTAAAATCCGCCGGTGGTGGGAGCTAAAAGGTTTTTGTCAGCAAACAAACAAACTGTAAGTTTGACCGACAAACTTTTTTTTTCCAAAAAAAAAAAAACCCGCTGAAATATATCGAAACGAGATGGAGGTGTTGCAAAAACCAACTACCACTAGCCAAAAGAGTGCATTCTCAAAATGTGGAAAGGCGTCTTTCTTAATATCATAACGATAATAACAGCCTTTCCTGCCTTACCTTGGCGTTGGAACTGCGGGATCCACCTCCAGATCAATGTCCAGGAACTTAGAAGAATTGATGATATTAGGATTTCAGTACTCTTGGGGGGGGGGTGGAATGCAAATCGTTTAGCCGGGATCTTTTCTGTCTGATTCGTCACTATTATTATGTCTGGTGATGTGAACGGTTGGAACGCTTCAATCCTAAATCATTAATGAGCTATTTTATAAACACCACTGTCTGAAGATCTTCATTTACATTTTGTTAAGGATCACTAAGCTAACCTCACAAGCCTGTGTCAACATCATTATGACAGGACTTAAGTTACACTCTTCTAAACAACATGGCTGTATTGTTAATAGGTTAATATTTTATAAAGTGTAAATATTTTATTATGTTTTGAGGAGCACTATTGATTCTAAATTATTAAACCTCTAAGGAAGTTATTTAAATGAAGTCTACAATTAAGTACAATTAAATGTACATTGTGGCTTCATTCTACCCCCTTTCAAATTCATCAATTTTTATTGTTCGTTTCTTAATAGTGGAAGAAACTCAAAAAGTCTAGGTTATTTAAAATCACATCTAAAGATAAATGAGTTAGATTTGACATGGAGAATAAGTCACATTTGATCAATTATTACCAGAAATGTATTAGAAATGCTTGTAGATTTATTTCAGTAACATATTTTGCCAATTTCTTTCTATTTAGAGAGGGATAGTGTTTCTTTTTCAAATGAAATTGTGCGATGTCTGCTAGTGTGCCTTTTTTCCTTCAGTTTTGTCGGTAATAAAGGCCTTTTCTGGTTCAAACTACATAAGCTTTATACTACACAATTTTGTATTGACTTGCTTTCAACTAAAGCATTATTTCAAGCATGTTTAAGTTAATCAATATGAGATTCTAAAATAATACTTTTCACCTTTCACTAAGAGTTTCTACTGTTTAAAAACAGTAAATAAATGTGCTGATGATTCAGGTTTTTTGTTTGGTTTCGTTTTGTATTCCTCAAAATGGTTTAATCACCAAACATTCTAAAACAAAATCACACCGAAAAAAAAAAAGAATTGGTATAAGTATTTTGTCTTTTGTTTAACACTTGTTCTAGATCTAATTTTTGCACCGAAGGTAGTTTGCTCAGTGGTCAAAACATAAAGTTCACATTTGCAGGACATTTTTATCCCCCAGTTTACCTCTGACTGACATTTTTGTAGAGAATGTACTCAAACTTTTCCTCCCCCCCCATCTCCATTTGTTAAATGTCATTTAATCAAAGGTCTCCTGTCTTAATTTGTTTTTAATCAACGGATCTTTCTACATGGGCTTGAATTTACATTTTTTTTCTTTGCCTCCCCTTTCCTTTCCACCTCCTGTCAGGCCTTTCTTCTACTTTCTCTCTCGTAGTCTTTCCTATTAGCAACAACATTGCTTGACTTCTCCTTTATCGCCACTGTGGTTTTTGTGGTTCCGACCCTCCTGGCAGGCTAACCTTTGCATCACGAAGCCCGCTCGGGGCAGGCTAGGCCCCACCACGCTGGTGTAGGATACAGAGCATCAGCGCAGAATGGCTGTCCTGGGCTTGGACACCCTGGCCTCCGAAGGCCCAGCATTCATCCCTGGGCTCTCCAACTTTCGAGTTCGGACACCTCGGCAAAGAAGCCCTCCTAACCGGTCGCTCTCCCTTAGCACCGAAAAAGGTGTGCTGCGTTGTCTCCCCACCTCGGGATACAGGGGGAAAGTCTGTAGAATCTGCCACAGAGCCTTCGACGGCTTTTAGGAACCCCAGCCCGCCAAACTCTTCTCCCAGATCTTGCCCTGGGGTGGGGAGGGGGGGCGGGAGGAGGGAGGGAACCATTTCTTCCTAATGGAGCTTGGAACTCCGAGCCGATTTTCGCCAAGGATTGTCGGTGGCGAGTTGGGCGACCAACGCTTTCTGGGCAACGT